ACATTCTTCTTATCTTAAATTCCAACTACGATTCGACACCTTATTTGCTCGCTTTTCATATCGGCAGGAAATTCACAGCTGTCTGCCAACTCGTATAAAGATCTAATGAATGTATCTACTGTTTCACCAGGCATTTGGTTTCTCTTTTGGAATTTTACTCGTTCGTTAATTATATTTTTCTTTGGATTAAAATGTTTGTCGAATTTTGTTAAGACAGTTCCATTTTTTTATGCATTACTTTCTGAAAGTTCAAAAGATTTTAATAAATTGTCAGCTTCTTTTCCCATGGTATATACCAGTGTAGCGACTTGTATATCTTCATCTTCTTTATGTAGTTTTGAAGCTGTTCTGTAAAAAGAAAATCTTTGTTTCCAGTTATTCCATTTATTTTGGCTTGAAAAATCAAAGATTTCTGGAGGTTGTAACTTTTTTTCTGAATTTTCTTCTAAAATTTAATGCTTTAGTTCTTTACAATTTAATGTAATCCAGCTTTCATTGTTTTCCATGTACTATTATCTGAATGACCGATGGTCAGTTATAACCATAACAATGTTAAATATATATAAGTTTAATTGTAAGTACTTGAACATATGTTCAAATGTTGAAGCATTCTATCAAACTATTAAAATTGTTATCAGAGAGACAAATCTACACTGAGTTAAACCCACGTGACTAGAGAGTATATCATATTACACAACAGTTGACAGTTCTAAATTTGAAAGGAGTGAATAGAGGTGTGTCATCCGGTCACGTAAAGTTGAACAGTATAACAAAGTTTGGTAGAAATTATGTCTAAAATCTGTATTTAGAACATATATTTAAGCTAAAACAATAAATTTACAGCAGTATTATAAGTTGTATGTGTTTTACAGTTATACTATGTTTTAATTGCCTTGAGGCCCGGGGTAATTAGAGCCCCAGTGATAATTATTGTCTGGTATGGGGTAGACAAAACTAACATGTATTGTAAAGTGGAAATTAAGATAAGAGTCTTGATAAATATTTACCTTGACGCTTGATTTTTTTCCTCTGTTTATGTATCTGAAAATAATTTATTGTCAATAGTGTTTGTTATACAAATTTATGTATATACCGACTTCTTTTTTTATAACAAAGTTATTTTTAAGTTTAAAATTATGATACGTAATGTGATTTTAGTTTCTACTTAATTAATAGTTAAAAACTCACTTGATGTCAATTAGCAAATCTTAAAAGTTAAAAAACTTACTTTATGTCAATTAACATATCTTTGTATGTAGGGTTGAGATATATTTGAGTAAAAAAGAAACGTTTTAATTAACCCCAATTTAAGAAGATAATTAATAATGTTATAAATATTAAAAAGAATCAGAGCACTCTTTATGCATTCATCATTAGAACTCAGTATGCATTATAGTTATAACATTAATAATTTGTTGCCGTAATAAAAGCAGCATTTCTCCAGAGTCATGCTATTTTCTTGAAAACATAGAAAACGTATTTAAAAGCATAATGGTGAAGAAACCAAAATGAAGCAATTAACACATTACCAATGGCACTTGAAAGCCACGTAAATTATCAAAAAATAAGTAACAATATGCAAAATAAACTCTCACTGCAGTGTGCGTTAGTAACACAGTAGAAATATTGTTATAAAAACTGAAAAATTAGTCATTAATCACAAAAAATATGTAAATTATTACGTGCATCTTGAATCATTTTACATTTTCAAAAATATTAGTACATTTTTCTCAAATTTGATTTTATTGGCATACTTTGGCTCATCTGGAGGCATGCTGCTTTAATAATTTAACCCTCCTTTTTGGTCTAAATCCAATGAAAGGACATAAAATGACCAAACATAATAACCAAATAACATTTTATACAAGGAAAATATATCAAGGATTGTACTATATAACTTTTAATCTATGGGAAAATCTTCAATATTATCAAAATTTTCATTTTTCTTCATGATAAATAAAGTTTGGTATCATGAGATGTCAGAGTATCCCTGAATAAGTTGTAATAAATTTCAGGCCACCTGTTGGAGATGTTTATATTATTGTCATTATAAGTAGGGAAAGTGTCTCAAACTCTTTTTTTTTCCAGAGTTTTTCAAATATAAACAAATACAAACCAGATGCTGAGCTGACATTATCTTAAACTTTGCTGGGAAGCAAGCAAAATGATTTCTGGTTCCAAAGACATTACCCAGACTTAGAAGTAGATCAAGATTAAATGCAAATTACTATTTGTTTTCTTGCTCTCCAGATGTGTTCTTTGTCTATAATTATATAAGAAATGTTAACATTTTATGCTATGCTTTAGATGTCTTTTATCAAATTAGTAGAATTTCAAATTCATAATTTTAATATGACCTATATTTTCCAATTCCTTTTGGAGTTTTTTCTGATCAACAAATTAAAACATAATGTATCCATGTTTTTGCCAAGTTAAAAAATCATCCTGCGTATCATTATACTTTATTTATACTTTAACCAAAAGTTCTTCTATTTATTCATAAAAAAACAAGTTGCATGTCTTGGATTATACATGTAGACAATTAAACAATTAATTTGAAGTTAAGACCTTGAAGGTTAAATTATTGAATTTTCACTGATTTGTGCATGAAATGACCATATATTTTTATCGGTGTGTCTATATATATACACGCATTTATATAAATTTTAAAATAATACAAATTATATAAATACTATAACTTGAACGCAGTTAATTGTAGCTTTCCTAAGCAGTTGACTTCATTGCGAGATTCATCCAATATTTTGCCTTAAAGTAACATTATGCTCATATTTTCATAGTCACGTCTAGCTTTATTGACTTTATATTTCAAAATATATACTGTTAAAATGGTGTTTGACCAACAGGTGATTTTTGAAAATGTTTGAGTCTGCCTTAAACATAAAGACTGCCCCACTGTTTTTATAAACTGAACGGTAGAAATAAATTCTAATGGATATTTACAGAAAATTCCTTAGGATCCGTGCGTTACTTTGCGATGTCAATTATTCAATCAAAAGTAATAATTGCAAGATGAATATATATTAACATGTTCACTCACTATATACCCTTGGATAGGCATAATGTCACTTTAAATATAACAATATATACATGTTTTTATTTGTTCATTAGCTAAGCCCTTTATCATTTACATGCCTCGTTTATATTCCTGATAATCAATTTTTAATAGTTTTCTTTTTTCTTTCATAGACTGAGACCGTTTAATTTTTATATATTAAAGTAGGGTAGAGTCCCTTTGAGGGAAAGAAAGTCAGAACTTACTGACTATAAATTATATATTTATGAAAAAAGTATGTTGTAAAACATTGAATGTAATCTGATTTTGATCTTTTGACATAGTGCAATTGACTGATTGTTTTTAAATCTATTTAGGTAATCTGCATGTGGGTATAATCCCGTAAAATATGGCGGTCTCATTGTCATAATCCTATTGTTACAATGCGTAAATAAACGCAAATTGTTTATACTCAGGTATGAATGGATTTTGACTTAATTTTTCTCTCCCCTCAATGTTGTTAACTGGACATTCGGAGATTTTTTAAAAGGTTATATTTTGCTGACCTAAGCTCAATTCCTCTTAATTAAATCCTGCTGTCGATTTCCAGGGCTGTCGTTTATGGAAGTTTATGAGTCATTTACTCCTTAATTTTGGCTTGTGACTTCCAATATTTAATACTTTTCCTTCTTTACCTTAATAATGTGACTTTCAATGTCAGAGAATTTGCAGTCTCTTTCATCAAAATTTTGAATTTTAATGGAAGCCCTGAATTTCTTTAAATCAATTTGTCTAGGTTCCATTTTGATTAAAATATATATATAGAATGAAGGTTGAATATACTGTATTTGTGTTCTTCTATATGGCCCAGTGACTTGACACATCGCATTAGACAATAAAATGCATCAATGCTTAAAATGAAACAATCACATGTCTATGCAGACTTGCCTACATACAGTTGCGATGATACTGAATTTTTGGCTGCTGAAATTAATTCACAGTCGCGTACTTTTAAGCTTGACTATTTGAAGAACAGGGGGCTGTCTTACTAACCTGGGTGTCAGCATTGGAGTTGGAGTCAGTGTTGCACTCTTGTAAAAGTTTTACATACCAAATCATATTCCATTAGTTTACCAACTAATGATATTTGCTTGTAACTTCATACACTTACATGAAAGCATAATAGGAGCTCACTATCCAAGGCCTATAACTCAAGCATGGATTTTGATAGAGTTATGGCCCTTTTTGAAGTTAAAAAATCCTTGTTCTAAGTTTTACATGCAACAATCAATCTTCAAAATTGTGAAGGTATTCACTTAAAGCTTAATATCAGGATCATAACTGGAGTTCACTGTTCAACGCCCATTATTCTGACTTAGATTTCGACAGAGTTACAGCCATTATTGAACATGTATGGAATATTCTTGGTTAAAGTTCTCAAAAACAGAAGGTTTTCACTTGCTACTTAATATAAATCACTTGGATCAAAATTGGATGTCATCTTTTAAGGCTTATTTCTTGAAATGGATTTTGATTGAGTAATGCTGCATTCTGTTTAAGAAAATTGTTTAAGTTTTGCTTGCAACATTAATTTTTCAAAAAATGCACTTCAAACTTGATTCATGCCTTTGAACTTACAAAACAAACACTTTCCAAGGTCCTTAACTCTGACATGGATTGTGAATTAAATAAGGCACTAGATGAAAGGCTTTTGTCAATATTCAAATAGATTAAAACAGAATCCCTAAAGAAAGCCCAACATGGCAAAATTGTTAAATGTTGCAGGCTCGGTTTGATTGACTAACATTTGTTACTGTGCCATGGATATAAGTTGTATTCTTGTGAATGAAATCTTCCTCTTTGTTTATTGTTACATTGACCAAACTCTTGTTTTACTATCAACATGTTGAAAAATTACACTCTAGGTAGAACAAAGTTGCATAAACTGATTTTCAGATAGCTTAATTGTCATTTTTCTGTTTTTCAGATGTTACATCCTTTACATTAACTGCATCGAAGAGTGCCAACAAGGCTATTCTTGGTGATAATCCATTTACAATATCGTGTGCATATACACTTACAGGAAGTGATCAACTGTTTACAATAGAGTTACAAAGAAAAAGAGACACTGGTAATACTGCCGCTTTTGAAACTTTGGTGACTTTTCAAAGTCCAAGCCATGATTTATTAAATTTTACTTATCAAGATACAGCGTTGGAAGATAGGACTGTTGCAACAAAGTCAACAGAGGAAAGTAAAACAGCAACTCTTGTTTTCAACAGAATAGAGTGTGATGATAAAGCTACATACAATTGTAAGGCTTTGTACACAGATGGTGTGGTAAAACTTGCTGAGAGTTCTGTATCTGTTTTTGTAAGAGGTAAGCTTATAACTTGAGTATTTGAAGATGGCTTTCCCTACATTATCGCCCTTGAAAAGACTGGTATGCATCTTGATATATGTATACCTGACCTATTTACCACTGAAGTAATCCACTAAAACCTCCAATAAACCTCACACATATATTTTGTTTAAAGGCTTATAATTGTAGATAAATTTCCAATAACTATAACTCCATTGTACGTATTTTAACTGAATTTTACCTCTATTTTTCACTTATAAATTTTGGTTTGTTTGTTCGATAATTTTTGACTTATAGAAAGGGTATACAAATGTTTGATCAAATTTTTGTTTGGTGTTGATTATGATATTTTAGCTGTCACTTTATTCAAATTATATGTGAAAACAAATTTCTTTAATAATATCTTTTGCTTTTTCAGCTAATACATTATTTGAAAAAGATAAGACAATTTCATATACACCATCAGCAAGTTTAGAAGAGGGTGATGACGTCACATTTCAATGTAGTGGGGATGTGGGTAATGAACCCGTCGGCCATCTTGGCTGGTTTTATTACCTCAATAACGACACATTTTTTACAATCAATGCCTCTGACAAAGCAGTATCGCAAGCACCAGTGTACCAACCAGGAACATGTAGTTACAAACGAACATCAACACTTCAATTGAAAATGCTCAGATCATTCATTAACTTATTAGTGCGATGTACTGTGCAACAAGATAACTACAACCAGTTCGGAGATGGTTATGCGCAGACTACGAATATTCAAGTATATTGTAAGTATCTATAAAAATTACTGTTGCAAGAATACAAAATTATTGTGCAGTATTTAAATTTGACATAAATTAATTTTTTTTCACAATCGCTAATTTTCGAGTTTGCACATTAAAATGAAAAACAAAGTTTTAATGGCAATTAATTGAATGGAATGGAATGGAAGGGTTATTTTGAGAAACCTTTGCTTCTATTTTTATGTCTTAATAAAAGATATAGGGGATACAAGTACAATTACTGAGAATATTACATGATTGAACTTTATGTACTAACAGCAGCAATGATTGCATAATCAACCAATCTAGAGTGAGTAAAGTCTGCACATCTAGAAAGTTGGCAAGGACTATTATGTTATGTTGGAGTGTCCAGTTTGAGAACTTTTATATTGAAATCCCTTAAAGTGCTATTGGACTGTTCCATGGTACAAATTTAGCAATGTTTAGCCTTAGAATCAATTCCCACACATTATGTGTCATACAAAGTGAAGCTTTTTACATATAACTTTACACAATGCTTATCTTTTTCTGTGTCTATTTTCAAGACCCTCCAAAGGTCACTGCTATAGCTGACAAAACAGTTGATGAAGGAACTGACTTGTTGACCTTGAACTGCGTAGCAGATGCCAATCCCCGACCAAAGTATTCGTGGCTTCTACCAAATGGAACAGTGAGCGACGGTCAAAGCTTGTCACTCACAAACCTTAAAGTTGGAGATAATGGGACGTTCACCTGCTTAGTGTATAATGTATACAAACAAGTGAACCATACAGCTAATGAGACGGTGTATATCGATGTCCGTAAGTATACTTTAAATTATATAATTGGCAGCGAAATTTTGCAAATCAAATAATGAGCACAACTGTGCGCATCTGCTTTTGCAGCAATTTTGATATTTAAAACAGACATTGCTATACTTTTGATAGTAGTGCAGACTAACCAATTTCCTGTGTGACTAGAGACATAAGATGGGTAAAAAAACCTGGATTGTCGGACAAAGTAGTGCTTGGCTTTTAGATGTAAACCTGCTGTCATATCCTTGTAGAAAATAAAGGCTGTTTATCTGTAATGGATGTACCTACTCTTTTATAATATACGAGGTACAACTTTTATGCTCTTAACTCTTCAGAAAACCACTTTTAAATATTGTTTTTATATAATATCAGCCGGAACTGAAACACTAATCTGGCAAGAAACAAGCAAGTTTGTATTGCGCAAATACTAGTGCAGCTTTCTGTAAGGTTTTTAGGCTATTATTTTTCTCTAGTTACATCTTGTTTCAAATATCTGTTTCGTCTGGAAATATTTACTCATTTCGGTTGTTTGTAGGTTATTTTTGTTTATCTTGATAAATGCTACTATCTTCATAAAGCTTTTTCTGTAGTTGTACTGATCAGTTTGTTCAAATTTGTGATTTTATATGTATTTTATGTGGAATGACTGTCACATGGTTTTAATCTAAACATTTTCCTCACTTTGGTGAAGCACTGCAGCAAAGAAACCTTCTCTGTTTTATGTTTAAAAGTTTGTCAAGTAAAGGGTTTATAAAAGTCTGATGATTAAAAAACTATAATATTATGTTAAGCCGGTTAGATCAAGGTGAGGCAACATTTATTTAAGGAATTGTACCATATGTGACCACAGTGTTTAAGTTAAGAAGTAAAATTCAATAAAAATAAATGGCTGAAATGGCCTAGTGATTATTTATATAACTGCAAGTGTGTGGGCAATTAGGTGAAAAATAAAATTCTGGACAAATCATACCAATACCATTGATGCAAAGTGAGTAGAAATATGCTGATTAAAAGTACTGGCCTACTTTACAGTACTGCAATAATTTACAGTACTGTACTGATAAACAGTATCAACATACTTTACTTTTATTCTGTAACTAACAGTTCTATCACGATTAGCAGTACTGGCTTGCTTAATAATACTAATTTATAAAAAAAAAACAGCACTGGTTCATCAAATTAAGCAAATATAAAAATAAAACTATTTCAACCAGTAACCATGTTATTATAAACAATATCATACAGGGAACATCTTTTTAAGGTCAGAACAGTTAACATTAACAAAACACTTCAGGTTCAAACTTATTTAGGGCCTAGGGCCATAGAATGTTTGTTGACATAATGCATAAAAAATAACTTTGAATGATGAAAAACTGTGAAATTAAAAATGTACTATTTCGAGCTGTTTTGATTTTATTATAAATTGTATATGACTAGCTCTAGGTCACGGCATGTCAGTTTTTTGTAGACACGGCTGCTGCAGAGATTGAATCTGAAAATGTGGCAGTAATTGTTGGTGTTGTTCTTGGTGTTATCATTGTAATTCTTGCTTTATGTGCTGGTTGTGTATCGATGGTTCTAAGAATATATAGAAGTAAAGAAGGTAAGCCACCAGGAAGTGTTTTGTTGACATTGTACGATAAGCAACTGTATACTTTAATATTATAGTTTTTTTCATGTACATCTTTTATTAAATCCAAACAGAAGTTATGCCTTTCACAGAATCAAACAGTATTACGATCCTGTGAATAAAATACCTAGACTCCAGCTCCTTTTCAGAATTGCAGCGTATATCAGAGTTAGATTCAAATAAGTCATCATTCTAACGAAGAAAAAAGTATCATGTTGTTGTATCATTAACCTTGGCATGTTTACTAAGAGGATATTGAAACGCCATATGTATATTGAAACTTACCAAGCTTCTATCCATATTTACAAATACGCAAATATATTGAAGTAATTGAGAGATCAACTTTGCACTGTGGGTATTTGATATTGGGCGTCTGCAGTTACAGTCAAGATATATTATAAAATATCTAAGTATAAACTATTAATTCTTAAGCATTGATTTCAGCTCAGTCTGACGTCAAGAAACGCCGAATGAGGTAAGGACTATGAAAAGACTTTCACTAATGTATACATACTAGAATTACATGCCAGTACGTAAAATATTGCACAGACTTTTTTATGTAATGATGCAGCAAAATCATATTTAGTAAAGAAGACTCCACTTATAACTGATAAATATTTAGCAAGAATATGTTATAAATGTTTATATCTAAAGAATTTGAATGAGTGTTATTACAGGTGATGTCATATTTGTTATTTGAACTTACATACCTTGTTTGATTAATTAGTGTGAACTATGTATTTGATATTGCGAATTATTATCTAGACGAACACACTATTTCAAGACTTGTTAAGTCAATGGCATGTGTAAATAAAATTAATATAAACGCATTTTATCTATATTCCAGAAAGGGACCAATATATGCAAACGAATCTTTCTTGACAGGAGATTTAGATTCCAGTGAGGTACGAACTGTCGGAATTAACCAAACAACAGCTTCCAGTATAAATATTGAATCAGAATACTTGAGATTGGATGATAATACTCGTGATGACAGGAAGACGTATGATACCATACAAAATATATGAAAAGTTAAAAGGTTTCCTGCAGGGATGAATTGATTTCGGCCGAGGGACGTCTAAGATCAGCTTTACTGCTTGTAAAATGTACAGAGAAGTACTGAATTTAAGTGGAATTTTCAATGCTCATTGTTAAATTACAAACTGAAATCTTGGAATTGAATTGGCCATTCTTAAATAATAATAAGTAAACTAATATGAATTTAATGATCTTCCTGAAACAGTATACGTGTCTAATTTTCAATGAATCTAAAAAAGTTACGGAAGCTAACTTTCATTTTTCATTTTCTAGTTTTCGGTCTAATAATCCATGTTTCCGGCCACAAATTATCTTAGTAGAATTATATTGATTATGATATTTTCCAAAATAATGAGACAACAAACACGTTGCTGATCACTTCATAAACTTCCTTTTTGATTAAACTTCAATTGCTCAAGTAATTTCCTTTGAATCTAACGTGACATTTAGAATTACACATATTTCTGAATTAATTCTGTCTCAATCTAGATCAACATCCATTTATGGTTATGCTGTATTTTTCATTTGATTCTTTAGTTCTTTCGAATTACTTTTCATAAAAGCATTATATTTTCTTGATCGTTTCAGGAACAGTTTGTTAACTTAATAAAAATGCAGAAATGCTGAATTTTTAAATGTTAATTGTAATTTACTCGTCTGACACTTTATATTAATGCAAATCCCATATATGACATCATGATTGTTATCAATAATTTTTGCTAATATACTTTTTTGAAGTTTACTTATCTGATTATCTGTTTGATTTAATAGAAATGAATTAACAGCCCGCTGGCTTTTGTCATCTGGTGTGTTCATTAGTATAAATCGAATCTTTTTATTGGCCGAATGGATAATTTCTTAATTCATATAAGGTAGTTTCATTAGTTGATTTAATAATCTCTTATTTTTAATCATTGGTTCATTATATCATTGAAAGCAGTTTTACAAATATTAATAACTATATATCTATTACTGTTATATAACTATAATTGCAATGTGTTTTGATAGAATTTATCGTAAAATTAGGTCACACTTTAAAAACCTTTAAACATGGATTTAGTTATATACGATAACAAGAATATTGACGATGACGGCGACGACGAAAAGTTTTAAAAGTTAAGGTACATCAACTTAAAGGTCAATATCAACAATAAAACGTGTGGTGGTATTTAAGGAAAAACAAAAATATATATAATATCTTATTAATATAAGATAGTTTGTTCTTCAAATTTATAATATTTTAAATTAATAAATGATAAGCTTAAGTCATGACTGAATAATGTAGACTTGTTGGGATTATTAAAGAAATACCAGACATGATTGTATTTTGATGGGAATGATCACATATATTCAGACGAAATATTTACCTTCAAAATATTTTCAGGTATTTTTACAGATAAATGTCATGTTCTGGTGAAGAAATATCCAAAATATGACAATCTGTATTAATAATGTCTTTACAAAGAGAAATTTAACTGTAAATTTGTAATTTTGTATGAAATAACATACAATGCATGTTTGAATGTAAATTTCCCATTGTTTATGTGGTCATAAATCACAAATTCGTATGATTATATAGTGTATCTGTGCGTATGTTATGCTTTTGCAAGCTTCCGTCTCCGCTAGCACCGGTAATTAATACTGTTTCTTTTATTATCAACATTGTTTCTATTTGTTACAAAGTATCAGAACAAAGTAATTATAAAACTGATAAGATATCTGTTTGATATTTTTCAGACAAGATTGATTACACAGTGGCAAATTATAGTCTTTTAATTCATTTAATTTATTGAGTTTAAAATGCATAGTAGGAAAGAAATTCTCTAATATTTTAACTCTGACAATAATTCAAATTTTTGAAGTTAGCTCCGTTCTTTATTGACTCTCAGTAAAAATAATTTCCATTAAAATGAAGATGAAAGAAAATGAAATCAAGCAACTTTTAAATGCCATATACACATGTATAGATAGCAAAATGAAGTAATTCAAAGGGACAACCCGTTGTATTGAATTTATGAAACACTGTATCCAAGGCTTCGTGGCCCGGTCATTCAACAAGCTCAAAATACTTCGAAAATAAAGGAAGCTACGCCCTGATCTATTCCATGTTTTTTAAAACAAGCAATTATCATAGTATTGCAAGCAATCCATAAGTCCCCTACCGGTTAGAACCCCATCAACATTCTGAAGGGTCATTGGCCATTCACTAATGTTTCAATTTTTTTCTATTTTAAAAAAAAAAAATGTTGGAAAAGTTCTTTAAAAGTGATCACAGGATACAGTTTTTATGAACAGACAGACAGACGGACTGAAAGACACTCTAAAGTTAATATTTGAAACATCCCTGTTACCAAAATATACCATTTTAAAAGCAAAATTCTTAAAGAGGAGATAACTCTTGAATTAAAGATGCAATTTCATAAAAATGTTCAGCTCTTTTTGACTAATCACAAATATTGTTATATTTGCCATGTTTTAAGCCTATTTGTTGCCAAGGCAACTGATATTTTTTCAAAATAGGAAGAACAGATAAGGCATGCATAATCTCAAGACTGCTATCTACCCATATGTCAAGTTTCATAAAAAATATTTCCAGTATTTTTTGAGTTATCATTGGATTCAGTTTATGTGTAAAATTTGCCATATTTTCAGTCTATGTGTTGCCATAGCAACCAGAATTTTCATTATAGGAAGAAAAAAAACGTGCATAATTTCAAGACTGCCATCTACCCATATGTCAAGTTTCATAAAAATATTTCCAGTACTTTTTGCGTTATCACTGGATCCAGTTTATGTGTAAAATTTGCCATATTTTCAGCCTATTTGTTGCCATAGCAACCAGAATTTTCAACATAGGAAGAAAAGAAAAAGACGTGCATAATCTCAAGACTGCCATCTACCCATATGTCAAGTTTCATAAAAATATTTCCAGTACTTTTTGCGTTATCACTGGATCCAGTTTATGTGTAAAATTTGCCATATTTTCAGCCTATATTTTCAGTCTATGTGTTGCCATAGCAACCAGAATTTTCATTATAGGAAGAAAAAAAAACGTGCATAATTTCAAGACTGCCATCTACCCATATGTCAAGTTTCATAAAAATATTTCCAGTACTTTTTGCGTTATCACTGGATCCAGTTTATGTGTAAAATTTGCCATATTTTCAGCCTATTTGTTGCCATAGCAACCAGAATTTTCAACATAGGAAGAAAAGAAAAAGACGTGCATAATCTCAAGACTGCCATCTACCCATATGTAAAGTTTCATAAAAATATTTCCAGTACTTTTTGCGTTATCACTGGATCCAGTTTATGTGTAAAATTTGCCATATTTTCAGCCTATTTGTTGCCATAGCAACCAGAATTTTCAACATAGGAAGAAAAGAAAAAGACGTGCATAATCTCCATACTGCCATCTATCCATATACCAAGTTTCATAAAAATATTTTCAGTCCTTTTCAAGTTATCGCGGGATCCAGTTTTGCGGACGGACGGACTGACGGACTGACAGACAGACGGACGGACGGACGGACAGACGGACGGACAGACGGACGGAGGGTTAACCTAAAGTCCCCTCCGGTAAACCGGTAGGGGACTAAAAAGAACCTCAGATTAACAGACAGACATAATATGTACAAAATTTATAATACAATACATATTAATCTGAACAATGATAGAACATTTATCGTGCACTAGAAAGAAAATCATCTATGTTTCTAAAATTCATATCAATTTTGTTGCCTATGATTTATTTTTCATATGCTTTATTGTTTTCTCTAGTATTGTCATCAAGTTGTAAATATACATTCTCCGTATTTTCAGTCTGTTCTCCATTAGTGTCTTCGCCAATCGCTATTGCATCCGATTCATTTGCTACACCGAAATTGAATGTGTCATTCACGTACGTTTGGTTTTTTCTATCATTTCTAAAGTAAAAATGATATTTGATTTATTGATTTCGCTTTACATGTACTTGTTTTAATATAATATTGAGTTATTTAGCAAAAATGCCTTTGTTTAGAGATATTTAATTTCCATGCAAGAACTATGTACAATTTGTCTTGAATCAACGCCGTTTCTAAATAAGTAACAAACAGTCTATGTCTTACCCTATGCCTTGGTTTATTTCTTGTCCGTCTGCAAAATAAACAAGCAAATTCTATATTGGCTTTTCTTATAAAATAAACAAATATCTAAACAATTATTAGCCCTAGAACTACTCCAACGATGATAATTTGATTGGAATTATTGCATTTTTCTATAAATGATACCACTTAATCTATAACATTACCTTGTGCATTAATTCTCAGATTTGAATATAGAAAGTGCCATTACTTCTACCATGATACCATGTAGATTGTTAAACACTGGCTAGATTCTGTACATATCTCCCCCAACTGCTGTTCTGTTTCAAGAAAAACATGAAATAGTAATAGGCTTATCATAAGTATTAGTATTTGTGATTTTTTACTTAATATATTAAATAATTCAGATTGCATTATTCGATGAATAAACATATTTTATAGATTGCCAAAACAACAAGACTTAGTTAAAATAACAAGAAATTCAATTTGAATCTAGTGAACTTTCATTGCAAGTCTAATCTAATTTTGATAAGGAAAAAAAAAATATTAAATAATTCAACGATGGACTTTCCAAACCAACGTATGAATAGAAAACGTTTGGTTTAAATCTGTGATCATAACTACAAGGAAATTTGCGGAAATCCCTACAGCATGAAATCAAATTTCCACCAAAATATGTTAACAACGATTCTCAACACAAATCTTACTTACATGTCTCTAGATATTGTACTTCTAACAGATTTGTCTTCGTTTTTATAGTTTTCTAAAGGATGTATCAATAAATTCAGCATTGTGTTCGATTTAATGATCAAAACAATTGAAAAGCCAACTTACATTGAAAGTGTTATTGTTAGATAAATTGCAGTTCTTTTAAACATACACGAATGAAATCAAACGCGACCCTCACTTCACTTGTTCAGTATTTGATATAATATTAAACTAGAAATGTGTCGTCACGCCACGGATGCCCCCGCATGCAGCCAACATTTCAGATGTAATTTGTTTGCACAAATTATTTTTTTCATTTTAAGTTCAAAGCCCTTAAAACTATTCAATGTTATCATTAACACAAACCATATTTACACAAAGTTCAAGGCATTGAAACTATTCAGTGTTAACCTTTTGTAATTTGCATATTGCATATGTCTAGCCAAATTAATGGCTTCATACATTTCCACAAAAGTATGAGTGCTGAAACTGAAAATTCAAACTTTTCCAACATTGAAGAGAGATAACTTTGTCCAAAATCATTGAACCACGACCAAATTCAAACTTGAACTTGAACTGCTTATTACTAAGATGTATCTATATGTCAAATTTGAGTTGAATGTGTACAACCATTGGGGAGATAATGAACTGAAACTTTAAATTTCTGATTTTTTTTCAAAGTTCAAGTGGGATAAATCTGTCAGCTATCATCAAACCATGACCAAATTAGAAATTAACCAATGCATTCTTATGACATATCTTTAATTTGAGTTGAATATGTACAACTGTTGGGGAGATAATGAATAGGAACTGAACATTTCCTATTTTCAAAGTTAAAGGGTTAGGGTTAACTCTGCCAAAAATCATCGACCAGAACAAAATTTGAACTTGACCTGCGTATTTCTTTGATGTACCCATATGTCAAATTTGAGTTGAATGTGTAATACCCTAGAGGAGATAATGAACGGAAACTGAAAATTTCATATCATTTTCAAAGTGAAAAGGACATAACTCTGCCAAAAATCATCGAACCTTGACTAAATTCGAACTTGACCTGCGCATTTTTTTTGACATATCCATATGTCAAATTTGAGTTGAATATGTAACACTGTTGGGAAAATAATGAACAGAAACTGAAAATTTCATATTATTTTCAAAGTGAAAGGGGCATTACTCTGCATAAAATCATTGAACCATGACCAAATGCCAACTTGGCCTGTGCATTTCTTTAACTTATCCATAGGTCAAATTTGAGTTGATTGTGTAATACTGTTAGGGAGATAATGAACGGAAACTGAAAATTTCATATTATTTTCAAAGTAAAAGGGGTATAACTCTGCCAAAAATCATTGAACCATAACCAAATTTGAACCTGACCTGTATTTTCTCATGACATATCCATATGTCAAGTTTGAGTTGAATGTGTAATACTGTTGGGGAGATAATGAACGGAAACTGAAAATTTCATATTATTTTCAAAGTAAAAGGGGTATAACTCTGCCAAAAATCATCGAACCATATCCAAATTCGAACTATTTTCTCATGATATATCCATATGCCATATTTGAGTTGAATGTTTGCAACCTTTTCTAAGATAATGAACGGAAACTGATGATGACGGAATGACAGAATGACGGAAGGACGGAATGACGGAAGGGGGTAACACTATATGCCCCAGTCATTATATGGCGGGGCATAAAAAAATCTTAATACACAATTATGAAAAAAGTAACAGATCATCTGATATAAACAATTTTCCATTATTGCTTGTGGCTCATTAAATTATTGTCATATAAAATTCTATACTTTTTTGTTCGAGTTATGATTTTCGCCCGCTCCCTTCTGTGATATAAAGTTTGCTAAATTAATGTCATAGAATTGTATATGCATGCACTTACTTATTAATATCTGTACAAATTTGAAAACCTTTTAAATAAAAACTTGTTTGCAACACTTGAATAAAAATGCGAGAGCAAACATTTTTCTAAAGACATACTTACTGTAAAAAGAGCTATGATATAACAAATATATTTTATTTCATAAATTAAAGAATTATTAAATAAACATAAAGCTTAATATCTTCAAAATAATATAAATGTGGAAACATACTTTGCATACAAGATCAACCAGATGCTGCACCATTTGTATCATAATATTCATTTCTACACTGACAGTTTCTAGTACTACTGCTACTACATTCTGCGTTGCTTGTGGAACACTTAGTGGAATCTGTACACGCATCTCCTAATGATTGTCCTGTTTTGAATGGATGATAGACATTATATTTACGAAATAAGCCCATTTAATGAATATATTGCATATCTTAATTTAAATTTTAAACTCAACAGTACTTAATTATGTAAACTATCTTATCAACTGTAATACAGATTTAATCTCTGATCTGTATTAATGCATCTTTGTAAATTGTATACACTTCTTTTATTTCATGCTTTATTAATAAAAGTATATTAATCAATTTATGACATTACATTTCATGTTTATGTAATGAAAAAAATACCAAAAACTGTAGATTCTCAAAAAAATAATTTCAATGTATAAGTTGTTGTCGTAGGATAAGAATTTATATAAAATATACACTGCTTTATATTTTGTTATTCATTTCAAATACAATATAT